GAGGCTGGTTTCAGACTTCCTTTGTGTCACCCTCTTCTCTCAGTATCGTGTTTTTGAGGCTGGTGTCTATGGGGTGATTTTTTTGCTTTTACTATCCTTGTAGCTACCTCCACTCAACTAGCCAAGTATCCTAAGTGGCTTGCACAGTGTAGACAGACTGCATGGTGGTTAAACCCTGAGAAGTTAAGATGTGAGACCACAGCCTCTGTCTGTCCATAGCTGTGTGGTTTGGCCACGTCCCTTCACCTTTCTGGGCCTCTGTTATTTCATGTATGAACAAAGAGTTGCTAAATGTCTCCTGCAATACACCTGACCTAGTGTGTCTAACCCGAGACTGCTGTGTCTAATAAACAGTATGTTGTTGTTCTTGTCATGGCTCTCAGGAGATGGACACAAATCGTGACCTGTCAGTGAACCGATCTCTCTTCAGCAGCATGTCCCACTTGTGGGCAAACTGAAGGATGACTTGTCTGGGGCCTGTTTTTAAAGCTATAGTGACATCTCCTGCTGAGTGTGGTTCTTTCACAAGCTTGTAGTACTTTCTAATTTTGTGGACACTCCTTAGGGGAGGACATTCTAGCATTGCCCGATGCCATCTAAGAAAATGCTGGACCCGGGGAGAGGCTTTCTGGGTGCTGACATCCACAGACACTTTAGAAAGTACTGCTGAACCACAAAAGGAAAGACTGTCTACCCCAGCCCTTTCAACCCCTCAAGTGAAACATCTCATCTTCAATCTTCTGTGTTTGAGTCAGAAAATACAGGCATATTTTTTGGGGTACACAGCGGCAGCATGGTCCCCAGGAGCTCAGAAGACTCTCTGATCATAGGTTTGTAACCTTGAGCCTAGTTTGTTTATGTGTAGATGGTCCTTGATGTATAGCTAACCACTGAGGTCTTGGCATTGGCTGTGGAGCTTCTCTGTGGGAGAGGCACCCCTCACCTCCCTCCCTGGCTGTGGCGTGAGCAGAGCTCTGCTTTTAGGCAATTGTTTCTGAGAGACTGGATCATCCCACTGGCTGCTAAAGCAGTTAAGCATGATTGGCTGCCCTTGCTGACAGGTCCCAAGCCTCAAGCACTTTCTGCAATGTTCAGAGGCTTCTGGGAACGCCTTGTCTCTGCCCACTCACATTCCAGCGACGGCCACCCCAGTGGAAGAAGAAATGGGATCCTTCGAGTGAGGCTGGCCCTAGCATGATGGCAGTTACCCGAAAGGAATGTCGCAGAGGCTCACAGTCACCCTCCGTGACCAGAGGCTTTCATCAGCTTGGGCTTTATTTGTATTGAATTAAGTTGTCTCCCCAGGATTTTCTGCTTTTAGCTACTGCTTCTGCAGAGTGGGCTAGAAGATGGGGTGCTTACAGATGAATGGGAAAGTTAAAAAGTCAGACACACACTAGAAAAACATAGAAAGAATTTCGGGCTGGAGAGATGGCTCAGTGTTTAAGATCACTGGCTGCTCTTCCAGAGGAGCTGCTCACAGGGCAGCTCACAACTGTCTGTAACTTATTAAAAGGAAGGAAAGAAGAAAGAATTCATTCTAATTGTAATCAACAAAGAAACAATAAGAAGCCCCTCACCCCTTCTTGAATGGGCAGTATGAGGCAATCTCATGTACCTCAGGCTGGCCCCAAACCTGCTATGTAGCCCAGGATGACCTTGAACTCCTGATCCTCTTCCAGTTTTCAAAGTGCTGGGCTTGAAACCAACCCTCCTCCCTACTGTTGGCAGTTTAATCCAAAACTTTGCACGTGTTAGGCAAGTGCTCTACTACAGAGCTGTGTCTCCAAGAGAATCTATATTTCATTAAAAAAACAAAACCCTACCTCAACCCTTCTTTTGTCAATCTTTCCTAATTATCATTTATGGTGATGGTGGTGATGACTAGTGGGTTTTCTAGCATAGAAATGCTCAGGGTCTTAGTCATCAATGCAGGTAACAGCTGGTTAAGGAGAGGTGTTGAGTGGGACTGAGTTCTTAGTCCCTTGCCAGCTTTCTTTATTCAGCGCCTTCCCCTGTGGAAATGTCAACACACATCCAACTCCATATACTGATCTTGGTGTTCTCAGCGCTCTGCATGGGGAACACAGCTTCTAGAACCTTCCTGGAGCTGGAGAGCCCCTCCGACTTTCCTTTAATTATTTCTCAGCCCAGAGGATCCTGTTTTTCAGAAAGATAATGAGCCTTAACCAGCACCTGGAAATTCAGGTTGGGGCTCTCTGTCATACAGTGTCACTTCTCTAAAGAGGGAGGCTGAGCCGTATTAAGAGCTGCCTTGAGCAGGTTAATTGCCTTGTATGTACCAAGTTATTTACAAAGCCATTTTCACTCTTTAGCCACTACCCTTCCACTACCCTTGGCAAGTCCAGTCATGCTCCAGTTGATTTTCACTGCCTCAATTTATGCTGGCTGGGGAAAGGAAACAAGCCCCCAAATATGACCCATCTCTTCCCTCTCCTCCCATTATTTGTGCTGTGGGTTGGGAAGGTTTCTTTAAATATTCCTAATTTGGACTTTTAAAGTGGTGTCTGGGAACTAGGGAGATAGATGGCTTAGTTAGTAGACGCTTGCTGCGCTCATGAAAAAAAGCCAGCCAGCCTGTCTGTCTTGTTGAGTTCCAGGCCAATGAGAGACCACATCTGAGGAACCACACCAAGATTGACTGTAGTCAGTCATCCTCTCTCTCCTTTCCTCTCTCTCTCTCCCCCTGCTCCCTTACACACACCCCATTCCTTCCATAAGAAAGGACAGTTCAAGTTCAGATAGATCCTTCAGTAACTATCATTTCTCACTTGCCTTTGGCTCCAAAGTACCTATAGCAAAGAAGTATATTTTGCCAGTCGGGCAGATGGTGGTGCCTGTACCCTCCCTCTCACCCACTTCAGACATGTTTGTAAGAGTGGCCCCTGGTGGAAGAAACAAGCACTGCAGCAAGGCATCTCCACCCAGGGAGAGGGTGACCCATCCTGAAAGTAGAGGTGCTTAGCTTCTTGAAACAGGCACGGGACTAGGACTTTTCCTGAGGGAATGCTTAGAGGCAGTAGAAACTCCACTGCAGGGAGTGGTGGGCAGTTATTCGAAAGGGTGAAAAATAACCTAACTTCTGAGTTTTTGTGAACTGTTTTTTTTTTTTTTCAACTGTGCCTTCTTGCGGTTTTCCTATTGCATTTCTCTCTGTACACGCGTGCACGCACACACATAGGAGAGTCCCATGGAGGTCTGAGGACAGCTCGCAGAAGTCAGCTCTCTTAGCTGGGCAGTAGTGGCGAAGCACACCTTTAATCCCAGCACTGGAGGCAGAGGCCAGCCTGGTCTACAGAGCGGTTTCTAGGACAGCCAGGGCTACACAGAGAAGCCCTGTCTCAAACCCCATCCCCCACACAAAAAATATTTGTTCTCTTATCATGTGAGTTCTTTGACTGTGGGGGTTCCAGCAGCTGCACCAGGTTGTCAGGATCTCTGTGGCCCTGTTTTTTTTGTTTTTCTTTGAGGCAGGGTTTCATGAAGCCTCAAGCTTGCTGTGTGCCTGAGGGTGACTTAACATCTGGTGTGCCCGTTTCCACCCCTGAAGTGCTAGGATTGGAGGCATGCACCACATTTGGTTTTACTTCTTGAGAAAGCCTCACTGTACAGCTCAGGCTACTGTAGGCCTCAAACTTACTGTGGTTCCCCCTGCCTCAGCCTTCTGAGTGCTGGGATTGCAGGCGTGAGCCACTGTGCGTGGCTTTATTTCTCTCTTTTTAAAAGGTTATTCATTAAGAGGCGGGGGCTCCTATTCTGTTGCTTAACCGGCCCTGAATTCCTGGGCTTCTGAGCTGAAGCAGCCCTCCTGCCTCAGTCTCCCTGATAGTAGGGACAATGAGTTTGCACCACAGTATTGGACTTGGAACTGTTTTGAACCATGTTAGTTGCAAAACTTGACTCTAGAGCCTTGCGATATAAGTTCCTTCCCCAAACTTCTCTCCCCCTTATGTTACACTTAAAATGTGTGTGTGTGTGTGTGTGTGTGTGTGTGTGTGTGTGTGTGTTTCATCAGATTCCACTCTTAAAACTGTTCTAAAATGGGCAGAGTGGTATATGTCTGTAATACCAGTGCTCAGGAAGTTGAGGCAGGAGGGTGTCAAGATGAGGCCAGGCTGGGATGCGTAGTGAGCCCCCGGCTAAGATGTACTTATTTTAATTGTGTGTGTGTGTTTTGTATGCATTCAAATGTACCGTGTGTATGCAGTACCTGCAGAGGCCAGAAAGGGCACCAGATCTGCTGGAATTGGACTTACACACAGTTGTGAGTCACTGTAATGGTGCTAGAACTGAACCTAGATCTTCTGGGAAAGTAGCCAGTGTTCTTCACCAATAAACCAACGTCCTCCCCGCCACCCCGCCAATACCTGTTTTTTTCTGTGTGGTATATGTGTGTGTGCATGATGTTTGTATGTGCCATGGTGTAGGGGGTGTGGAGGTTAAAAGCCAACCTTAGGACTCAGTTCTTCTCTTCCATCTTGTTGGAGGCAGGATCCCTTGTCTTTGCAGGCTTGACTGTGTTCTAGGCCCGCTGGCGCATGAACGTCTGGGTGATTCTCCTACCTTGCTGTGGGAGTCCCAGGCAAACAGAGACACACCTACATCCTCCTCTTTACAAGCGTTCGAGGGTCTGAACTCGGTCGCCGGGCTGTGCATGCTGTTCCGATGAGACACCTCCCAGTCTGTTTTCATCTTGTGCCAAAGTGAAAAATTGCTTTATAGACAAGATACTATTTTCATTGACTATTAAGTGACTACAAACAAACAAACAAACAAACAAACAGACAACCAGACTCCAAAGATCAGTTGCCCTGTGTTTGGGAAGATCTTAATGATGAGGATGAGCCCCTGGGGTAGGGTTATTGAGCTGGTGTGTATTTTGCATGATTTGGTGGGTGTGTCAAGTTCACTTCCTAGAGAAGTAATGTCCAGTCTGTGATCTGTCCAGTATCCTAATTGCTGTGATCTCTGTCCTGCAGTGATATTCGAAGGATGCACTGGTCGGCCGAGGACAGCCTACTTTTCTGAAGACTCCCGATTCAAAGTAGCTACAGACGGTGTCGTCATGGTCAAGCGGCCTCTAATGCTTCATAAACCGGGGACCAGTTTTCTTGTCCATGCCTGGGACGCTACTCACAGGATGCTTTCCACCAAGGTGACGCTGGTGTCCATGGGGCACCACCAGCACCAGCACCAGCACCACCATCACGTACGTTGGGTTATTTCGTGTGTGTGTGTGTGTGTGTGTGTGTGTGTGTGTGTGTGTGTGTGTGTGCGTGCATGCATGCATGCGTGTTGATCAGGGTTCTATCAAATCTGGATCCCCTAGCCTTAGCACTGGGGACTTTTTGGGCAAGATAATTTCATGGGAAGACTCTGGAATGCTAAGTAGCATTCCTGACAGCAGGAACACTTAGTTACAACAGCCAAAACTACCTCCAGAAACTCACGGCTCTTGGGGTGTGGGTGCGGGTGGCAAAAACTCTCCCCGGTTGAGTCTTTCTACCTGAACTCACTCCTCTTGGGTTTGGGGGTTGCTGTCGGGTTGTGAGGATCTGGTAGTGTACAGTACTGAGGGAGACACCAGCCCTGCCTGCAAGCCTGAGCCCACAATTGCTCTTTCGCTAACCTAGTAATCCCAGAGGACTCGTTTCACCTGTGTAGGCTGAGCGACTTTACACACAGGAAATACTTAAACCGTACTGTACACTTGGTATTTGCAAGGAGCCCGCTCTTCCTTCATGAATGTCAAAATCTGGATGCTCAAATCCCTTATATAGATCCCCTTTATAAAAGTGTGTAGATATTTGCATAAAGCCAGCATGTCTTCCTGTCCGCACACGTCTGCATAAGACAATGCCTAATCCTAATACTCAGCACGATGCTTGTTACACTCTCATTATGGAGAGCTAACGGTGGCATAAATCGCTTATGTTCTGCACAGACAGAATATTTTTATAGTCATTTTGGGTTTTGTTTTGTTTTCTGAGGCAGGGTCTTGCTGTAAAACAGCCCAGGTTGACCTCAAACCTATAGGCCTCCAGCCTTGACCTCTTGAGGTGTGGGATTACAGGTGTGCACTAACATGCTTGATATAGGCTTCTCTTTCTTCCTCTTGTTCTTCGTCTTTTCCTCCTCCTCCTCTTCCTCGTCTTCGACAGGTTCTCTTATAGTCCATGATAGCCTCAAACTCACTGAAGAGCAGATCACTTCTAGTCTTTCATCTCCCAAGTGATAGGATCACAACCTTGTGCTATCACACCTGGGTTTGTGAGGCTCTAGGGATTAAATACAGGGCTTCATGCATGCTAGACAAGTATTCTGCCAAGCAAGCGCTATCTCCAACTCTTGATACCTTAAAAAAATCTTTTAAAATCCTTTTTATGTCCTCCTCGCTTCTTTTGTTTTATTTGAAAGATGCCCAGGATGACCTTGAAATCCCAGTTCTCATGCCTTTGCCTCCTACTTGTGGGATTATAGGCATGCACCACCACACCTGGCTTTGAAAATAATTTCTATCCGTCCTTGGTTGATCGCAGACGTGAACCTGAGCCATGGAGGGAGGCCTGAGTAGGTTCGCTTCTCCTCATTACCAGCCCTTCTCATTGCCTTCCCGAGGGCAGAAGGAACACGGTGAGGTGCTGGGCGTCTTCCCTAGCTCGGGGAGACCAGTAGGAAGTCTTTGCCCCTTTTTAGAGCTGGAGAGACGGCTCAGCCGATAAGGATGTTTGCTGCTGTTGCAGGGACGTAGGTTTGGATGCTAACACACATCAGGCACTCCAGAACACCCTGTACCTCCAGTTGCAACTCCTCTTCTGACCGCCATGGGTGCTTGCATGCACACGGTGCACATAAATTCATGCAGACATGTGCATAAATAATAAACACTTTGTTTTAAACATTTTCTCCTCTGTCACTTGCATAGGCTCTTTGCCCATGGTATTTACAGTGCCTGCTGTTAGGCCTGGCTCAGTCCGACAACCGGTAAACCATGTAGAGGCCGATACACTGACTATGATATCCAGCTTCTGGTCATGACTTCCCCTGGAGGTGGCACCAAAAAGCCAAATGCCTTTGCCCATCTTGAAAATGCTCTCCTGGCATTTTCTATTGTGTCTCTCCAGGGGACATTCTAGCCGCACCTTGCTTCCTGCCTCAGAGGTGAGGATTGTACCATTGAGTGCCAAAGACTTTAAAGTTGACTCCTGCTCTGTTCTGTGAAGACTCTTGAGATTCGTGGAATTTAATAACCCCCATCTAGGTTTTCTCTCTGATGCAATTAGAGAAGAACTTAGTTCAATTACATTAGCCAGGGCTTCCTGAGACTCAGGCCCCAGCTGGCTGGCCACTCACCCATGCAAGTTCAGCACAGTTAGCACCGTCAGGCAGTTGACTATGGAACTTTTTTTTTTTTTCTTTTTTTCGAGACAAGGTTTCTCTGTGTAGTCCTGCTGTTCTGGACTCACTTTGTAGACCAGGCTGGTCTCGAACTCACAGAGACCGCCCGCCTCTGCCTCCCTGAGTGCTGGGATTACAGGAGTGCCCCGCTTACTATGGAGCTTTCTAAGACCAAGAAAAATGTGGGGTTTCTTTTTCCTCCAGATCCCCGACCCCCATCTTTCCCTTCGCAAACTTTACTCTGTCTCCATTTCTGTTGTATCAGGATTTAATTCAAGTATGCATTATAGAAACCCCCAAGCCAGGCATGGTGGTGCACAGCTTTTTGTTTGTTTCGTTGTTTGTTTGTTTTTTATTTTCAAGACAGGGTTTCTTTGTATAGCCCTGGCTGTCCTGGAACTCAGGATCAGGCTGGCATTGAACTCAGAGAGCTGCCTGCCTCTGCCTCCTGAGTGCTGGGATTAAAGGCATATGCCACCACCTGGCATCTTACCTTTCTGTTTTGCTATCCTTAGCACATTATGGCCCCGACTCCAAAACTTTTAGAGGTAGCATAAGCTGGACTAGCTTGTGTCCCTCCTGCCTGAGCCTTCCAAATGCTCAGATGGCAACTGTGCGTCATCACAGTGAGCACATAGCTTTGTTTCATATTGTTACTATTTTGTAGGCAGGATCTTATCATATAGCCTAGGGTGGGCTTGAACTCCTGATTCTCCTGCGCTAGCCTTTCAAGTGTTGGGATTACACATGTGCACCACGAGGACCACACATGGCTTCGTTCTGCATGGGGCACCTCATGGTCCAGCAGGTGCTGGAATGCCATCTTTGTTGGGGATGGGGAAGTAGGGGACACGGAGTGGTGTAACTCTGGCTGGTGTGGAACCTGCTCTACAGACCAGACTATCCTTGAACTCAGAGTTCTGTCTGCCTCTGCCTCCCAAATGTTGGGATTAAAGGGCTGTGTTCAGCACAATGCCTGGCATCCCTTCTTAATTGTAAGTGATGTGAAGGAGAAAGATGCTGATTTGTACCTTTTATGAAATTTTATGGAATTCCTAAGTACTGCTCCTACTTAGCCACATCTAGCTGTTAAATGTAGCTTTTAAACCAAACCATAACAAAACAAAACAAAAAGATGTTGTTAGTGCATTATGTGTATAGAGGCTAGAGGTCAATGATAATGTCTTTGCAGTCCTGGCTGGCCTAGAACTCACCCACCTGCCTCTGTCTCCTAAATTCTGGGATTAAAGGTATCTGCTCTCATGCCCAGTGTACACCTTAGTTTTTTTTTTTCTTGTATTTTTTTTTAAAAATTTTTTATTAATTACACTTTATTCATTTTGTATCCCCCCATAAGCCCCCCCTCCTCCCCTCCCGATCCCACCCTCCCTCCCCTTTCTGCATGTATGCCACTCCCCAAGTCCACTGATAGGGGAGGTTCTCCTCTCCTTTCTGATCTTAGTCTATCAGTTCTCATCAAAATTGGCTGCATTGTCCTCTACCGTGGCCTGGTACGGCTGCTCCCCCTCAGGGGGAGGTGATCAAAGAGCAGGCCTATCAGATTATGTCAGAGGCTGTCCCTCTTCCCATTACTATGTAACCCACTTGGACACTGAACTGCCATGGGCTACATCTGTGCAGGAGTTCTAGGTTATCTCCACGAATAGTCCTTGGTTGGAGTATGAGTCTCTGGGAAGTTCCCTGTGTTCAAATTATCTTGTTCTGTTGCTCTGCTTGTGGAGGTCCCATCCCCTCCAGCTCTTACTATTTCGCACTTCTTACATAAAATTCCATTCACTCTGCCCACACACCTAAGTTTTTGAGACTGGTTCTCTCGTGGAATCTGGGCTTTGCTGATCCATTTAGACTGGCTGGTGGTGAGCCTCAGGGGGATCTTCCTGTCACTGCCTTCCCAATCCAGTTCTGGGATTACAGATGAGTACTGCTGTGCTCATGTCTGCATAGCAAGCACTGTATTCACTGAGCTGTCTTTCCAGCCCCCAGGCACTATTTATTTATTTATTTATTTAGTGCTAAGACTTGAATCTAGGCAATTGTTTCTCCAGCTTCCAGATACATATTTTTTAGTTTTGTATATTTCTGGGCACAAAATTTTGGTATATGTTAGAGAAAAAGAGAATTTTAAAAAATTCCTTTAAAGATTTATTTTTATTATATGTGTATGGTTGTTTGGTCTGAATGTATATGTATGCACCACAGGTGTGCCTGGTATCTGGATGCTGGAATAGGATATGGAATCCCCTGGAACTGAAGTTACAAATGGTTTTAAGTTTGCCTGTGGGTGCTGGAAATTGAACCTAGTTTCTTTTTTTTTTTTTTGAATTTTATTTTTTTCTTATCAGTTACATTTTATTAACTCTGTATCCCAGCCGTGTCCTGATCCCTCATTCCCTCCCAGTCCCTCCCTCCCGCCCTCATCTCCACTGTGCCCCTTGCCAAGTCCACTGATGGGGGGACCTCCTCCCCATTCATCTGATCCTGTTTTATCAGGTATCTTCAGGACTGGCTGCAAAGCTCTCCTCTGTGGCCTAACAGGACTGCTCCTCCCTTGGGGGGTGGGGAGGCCAAAGAGCCAGTCATTGAGTTCCTGTTAGAAATAGTCCTTGTTCCCCTCACTATGGGAAACCAATTGGTTACTGAGCTACCACAGGCTACATCTGAGCATGGGTTCTAGGTTACATTCATACATGGTCCTTGGTTGCATGTCAGTCTCAGAAAAGACCCTGTGCCCAGATATATTTGGTCCTTGTGGAGCTCCTATTCTTTCCTCATCAGACTAACTCCCCTTCTTTCTTATGATTCCCTGTACTCTGCCAAAGGTTTGGTCATGAGTCTTTGCTTTGAAAACACTGCTAGGTAGAGTCTTTCAGATGCCTTCAGTAGACTCCTGTCAATGTTCAATGCGCATCCCCTCTGTCTTTCAACACGAGAATTGATAATCTTACCCCATGTCCGCTCTCTTGACTATCTTTTTTAGGTGTATAGATTTCATTATGTTTATCATATCTTATAGGTCTATATAAGTGAGTATATACCTGAACCTAGTTTCTTACAAGAGCAGCGCATGCTCTTAACTACTGAGCCTTCTCTCCAGCCTCTAAATTTTGGATTTAATAAGAAAGGAACAATCTGGGTGTAAGGGTACCTTCAACACTTGGGAGTCTGAGTCAGAAGGATTGCTGTGACTTTAAGGTCAGGACTATATTACAAGACCCTGTCTCAAAACAAAAGAACCAAGCCAGGTAGTGGTGACACACACCTTTAATCCCAGCACTTGGGAGGCAAGTGGATCTCTGAGTTCGAGGCCAGCCTAGTCTACAGAGTGAGTTCCAGGACAGCCAGAGCTATACAGAGAAACCCTGTCTCAAAAAACAACAACAATAACAACAAAACCCAGCCAACTAAAACAAAACAAAGCAAAAACAGGGAGAAAATGGAAGAACGTCTTAAAATGGTGACACAGACTTGTAATTCGAAGCCGAGGCAGGAGGATTATGAGTCCTAGGTGAGCCTCAACCACACAGCACAAGACCACGTTTTTGTGTGTGTCACGGAAGATCCCGCACTTGCTACGTAGGCATGAGGACATACGTGTGAGTTCCCGAAACGCACAGAATGCTGGGTAAAGGAGTGTGGGTCTATAGATCCAAGAGGATGGTACTCACGGGCTAGCTAGCCTGGTGTGCACAGGGACAACCAACCGAGAGACTGAGGTGGTCCTCTCTTCGCCCCGTACCGGCTGTGGTAACTGGGATGTGCACACACATACAAATCTGACTTTCTAGTTCTTTCTCTTTGTTTGGCTTTCTGAGGGAGTGCCATGTTCAGGGGGTTCAGGCGCGATTCCTTCCCCCCCCCCCCCGACACACACACGTGGAAGTTCATGTTACCGTACTCATCATTTATTACCTGTCTCTTTAAATAGCCTGCGTCTTGGTAAACGGGGACCTTTGCCTTCCTTGTCAATATGGTGGGTGTGTGTTCATTTACCCGTGTTCACTGTGGCTGTGTCAGATGGTCATCTGAAGACTTAGGGTGCACTATTGATAGACAGCTTCTGTGTTCTTCCTGCACTGTGGTTAAATTCCCCCCTGATATTAGGTCAGCGTTTTCCAGTCATAGTCATCTTCTTCATTTACTGAATACTTGCTGTGTTTCAGGCACTAATCTAGATACTTCCTGTGCAAACAAGTATTATGGAGTCCTTCCAAGCTCTCTAGGACATTGGCACCAATATCATAATCTCAATTGTAGCTGCCTTTCATCCCAACACTTGGAAAGTAGAGACAGGTGGATTTCTATGAGTGATGGGCCAACCTGGTTTGAGTTTCAGGCCAGCCAGGGCTACGCGGTGAGACCCTATCTCAACAAAACAAAACAAATCTCCACTTTAGACACTTTGGGACTGTTCACACAGAAGTTACCTCATTTCCTCTGGAGGCAGAGGGGGCGCTATACTGAGAACTGAAAGCCAGGAAGCCAGTCCCAGAGCCAGCCCTTAGCCCATGCTGGCTTTCTCCTGTGGGTGGTAGGTGCAGGGGTGACAAGGATAAAGTGTGTCAGGGGCCGGGGGTGGCAGCTGTGTGGGATTGGCCCCAAGAATACCTCTGGTCACATTTTGCATCTGTCTTTCATGTTTTGAATCTTTGGAACAAACAAGCAAACAACCCAGGAAGCCTGAAAACGCAGCTCGGTTGGTAGAGTTCTTGCCTAGCATGCACGAGGCCCTGGTGTCTGTTCCCCATTGTCACATAAGTAGGCGGTGTGTGCCTGTCATCTTTGATAGATGGAGGCAGAAGGAGCTGAAGTACGAGACCTTTGAAGACTACACAATTTGAATCCAGACTGGGCCTCATGAGATTGTTCCTAAAAATGACCAAACCAAACAACAAACAAACAGACAGACAGGAAATAGGCTTAACTAGAACTTGGCTGCCTGTGGTCTGTGTTGGTGAATATCCTCCCGTGCAGGGTGAGGATGAAATCCTCTAGAAACTTCGTTACCACAAAGCATTTTGAACACTTAAACAGTTTAGGAGGTATTTTCCTTTCATCTCCAGCTCTTATTTCCCTGAGTGTGCATGAACTTATCTTTATTGCATATGTTCGATACAAGTCTCTAGGTTATTTGTGGTTCCCGTCCCAACAGCCTCTCTTAAAACAAATGCAACCCTTATAGATAGAACACAATAAGATAAACACATTTGTATCGATCTCAGAGTAGTTCTTAATAGCAGTTTCCCAAACTTGCTGATTGATAAGTCTACCATGGGGAACTATATCCCTATGAAAACAAAGGAAGTCCAGAACTTCCAAATATCTAGTTACTGAATCACCTCCAACGTTACCCGAGTATAGTTTTGCTTAAAGGACATGTACTGTATAAGTTTGAAATAACTTTTAAATACAATTGTCAAATGTTCAAACCCACAAATGTTTATGCACAGATGATTCTGGACATTAATTTATTTAAAGATAATTTAAAGAGAACAGCCCAGTGGTGATGGCTTATGACTTTAATCCCAGCATGCGGGAGGCAGAGGTCGGCCGGTCTCTGAGTTCAAGGACAGCCTGGTCTGCAAGTTCTAGGACAGCCAGGGATACATAGAAAAGTCCTGTCCAGAAAACCAGACTGACTGACTGACTGACTGACTGACTGACTGACTGAATGACCAAATGAATGCGTGAATGAATGAATAAATAAATAAATAAATAAATAAATAAATAAATAAATAGAGTATAGTATTTATTATATGGCTGTGTTCTGACAGCTGTAACAAAATTCATGAGGCAATTAACTTAAAAAGAATAGGTTTAGCTGGGCAGTGCTGGTGCATACCTTTAATCCCAGCACTTGGAAGGCAGAGGCAAGCAGATCTCTGCGAGTTTGAGCCCAGCCTGGTCTACAAAAGTGAGTCAAGGACAGCCAAAGCTACAGAAAAACCCTGTCTCGGAAAACTAAAAAAAGAAAGAAAGAAAAGAAAATATTTTTCTTGTGTTTTTGGTTCTGGAGGCTCAAGACCAAATGACACTGTTATTTTGTCCTCTGGCACATCAGAGCGGGAACATAGAGTAAGCCACTTGTCCTATGATACAAAAAGCAAAGATGAGACTGGGGTCTCACAGTATTCTTCAAGGACACTCCTGTGGTCTGAAGACTGCCATTAGGCATTAGGAAGCAAGCTCTTAAGCACAGGACAGGGTGGGCAGTTAGCGTCCAGACAATAGCACTGTCAGGTGTTCTTGGCTTATGTTTTAGCTGTTCCTGGAACATGTAATTTGCCATTGAGAATGAGTCATCAAATTCAAATGTAGACAGCCTTTAGAAGAGGGGATAGATTGAACTGTTACACCCATATGTCTTCTGGATCACCTCATTTTGTGAATCTTCTTTCCTTTTAGGACCCTTTCTCTGGACCCCAGCCAGAAATGCTCGTGTTTCCCAAGTCTCACCAGGGTCCCAGAAGACAGAAACGAGACTGGGTCATCCCTCCCATCAGTTGCCCAGAGAATGAAAAGGGCCCGTTCCCTAAAGATCTGGTTCAGGTGGGGAAGGAAGGTGGTAGAGAGGGGCTGAGAGAGAAGAAGATGAAAAGACTCAATGTCAAGATCTTTCCTTGCCAATTCTCTTTTGTTTCTGTTTTGTGTTCAGATAAAATCCAACAGGGACAAAGAAACGAAGGTTTTCTACAGCATCACAGGCCAAGGAGCGGACAGACCCCCTGTGGGTGTGTTTATCATTGAGAGAGAAACAGGCTGGCTGAAAGTGACACAGCCTCTGGATAGAGAAGATATTCCCAAGTACATCGTGAGTTTCTTAGATACTTGTTGACAATTGGGTAACAATTGTCAAATTTGAGGCCGACCTGTGTTTTATGCCCAGGTCAGATGCCTTGGACATATAAGTAGCTTAAGTTACCTCTGGATGTGTTGATAAAGTGAAGACAAGAGAATGATTTGGGATGGTTAGTTCTTGTTGCTGCTGTTCCTTACAGGACAAAAGTGGGGATTCTTTACATCCTACATGAGCACGGATAGAAGTGGTCAGAGTAGGCCTGGAGAGATGGCTCAGTGGTTTAGAGCACTTGTTGCACTTGTGGGGAATCTGGAGTTCAGTAACCAGCCTCACATCAGGTAACTCACCACCACCTGAAACTCCAGCTCCAGAGGCTCTGATAATCTTCTGACCTCCATGGATAACTGCATGAAAGTACGTGTGAATTCACACACACACACACACAGACACATACATACACAGATATGCATAAATTAAAAGATGCCAGCTTGGCTGGAGAGATGGCTTAGTGGTTAAGAGCACTGATTCTCTTGTAGAGGACCTGGGTTTGGGTCCCCACACCTATGTGACAGCCTGTAACCATCTGTAACTCCAGTTCCAGGGGATCCGGTGCCTCTATGGGTTCCGTGTTCACATGTGTTACACATACATACCTGCAGGCCAAACACTATACATGTTAAACAAAAGAGGGGGATTGTTGGAGAGATGGCTTCTCTTCCAGAGGACCCTGGTTCAGTTCGCAGCGCTCACATGGCCGCTCACAACTGTCTGTAACTCCAGTTCCAAGTGATCTGACACCCTCACACAGGCATAAATGCAGACAAAACAGCAGTGCATGTAAAATGAAAGCAGTAAATCTCTTTTTAGAAGGTGTCAACTTGTTCTTGAGGCTGGCGACAAGTTTATTGCCTAGACAAAATGTATTCAGATGATGATGACAGAGAGCAAATGCTACTTCTGGGACCTGGTTCCAATGTGATCTGAGGGCAGAGGGAGCTAAGCTGTAGATGCTGGATGTAGAAAAAGCCCGAAGGAACATTAGACTGACGGCTGGAGAAAAATTACCCCGGCTGATGTGAGACTGTGTGTACACTGCTGAACAGCTCAACCAGTGCTCTCAACACTGAGCTATCTCTCCAGCCAGGCTGACATCTCATGTGTATCTGTGTATGTACGCACCTGTGTGTGTGTGATCATACATGCTTTCGTGCAGTTATCCAAGAGCCTCTGGAGTTAGAGTTTCAGGTGGCTGTGAGTTACCTGATGTGAGGCTAGGAACTGAAGTCCAGATTCTCTACAAGCATACGTAGTACAGACTCATACAATGGGTGGTGTGCTCGCTAGCCTTGCGACTTAATTCTCTGTGAGTTCATTAAGCAGCAGCACACGGTGCGGAAAATTCTCACATGGAGGGACACTCTAGCCAGACTCCCTCTCCTGGCTCTTCTTCCCGGTCAGGGTCTAAGCAGCCCTCACTTGGCTTTCTTGCAGCTCTATTCTCATGCTGTGTCATCAAATGGGCAAGCAGTGGAGGATCCCATGGAGATTGTGATCACAGTGACAGATCAGAATGACAACAGGCCGGAGTTCATCCAGGAGGTCTTTGAGGGATCTGTTGCCGAAGGTGCTGTTCCAGGTAAATCAGTCTCAAGGAACTGAGTATCCAGAAAGGCACTTGGGTTCTTTGGACCTTGAAGCATGGCATTAGAACTTGGGGTCAGGTCACTGAAGTTCAGGCATGTGCTTTGGAAGCCACTGTGAGGGATGAGGTGGAGGCGTGGGGGAGCAGATACAGCATTCTGCCTGTAGAAACATGGAGAAATAGAAACAATAAAAAGAACAATTTCCCTAGGGCGGGGCGGGGCGTGCATGCAACTCTAGTTCCAGGGGACGGATGCACCCTTCTGGCCTTTATGGACACCTGCATGTGTTGTTGTTAATAATAATGAAAACCACAGTAATGACAATAATTATTAAAAATAAAAATATTAAAAGAAATAAAATAAGAACTAGTAGAAGGAAAAGAGAAGGACTTTAGGGATACTTTAATTTATTCCCAACACTGTCTTTCTTCCTCACACCACACCTGAATTATAGACTTTGAGTTCCCTGAACACAGCTTTGGTGTGAACAGGTTTGGTGCTCCCTTCCCTGGCAGTTTGATGAGAATTTTAGAAATAAAAACTGTGATAAAGTGTGGTTATCTCCTAGACTAGGTTTGTCCTGAGTAGTCATGAGCAGATCCCAATGTAGCGATTACAACCTGTTTAAATCTTCTCTCCTTCAACACTTCCAGGAACCTCTGTGATGCAGGTCTCAGCCACTGACGCGGATGACGACGTGAACACCTACAATGCTGCCATCGCCTACACCATCCTCAGCCAAGATCCGGAGCTGCCTCACAAAAACATGTTCACCGTCAACAGGGACACAGGGGTCATCAGTGTGCTCACCTCTGGGCTGGACCGAGAGGTAGGGCAGGGCTCAGGAGGATGGCAGTTGAAGGCAAATGCACACTAAATCCCACAGACAGTGCGGCCCTCTCATAGTCAGTCAGTGTGAGTGGCTCAGCTCGGCATCTCAATACCTGCCCGGAAGCTCTGTGTCTGGAGGTGGGCGGCCTGGACAGTTAAGCAGGTGGTCAGATACTTTCGTACCTGTATGCAGTGGGCTGCACTGGGCTTGGGGTGCTCTGGAGCAGGCTCTGATGCCATGTGTTTTATGCCTGCAGAGTTACCCTACGTATACTCTGGTGGTTCAAGCTGCTGACCTTCAAGGTGAAGGCTTGAGCACAACAGCAAAAGCTGTGATCACCGTCCTGGATATTAACGACAACGCTCCCATCTTCAACCCAACCACGGTAATTCTGCGGCTTCTTAGTTCCGTGAAAGGTTCTTCATTCATTGTTTGCAAGCCAAGTTTTGCTTCTGTGCATGGGTGAGCCTTTGAAAGCCCTTTCCCGGGTTAGTGAATGTGAACTGCAAGTTTAGAAAACCAACATCCTGGAGTAGCTACTGCCTTTGAGATCTTTCTTTCTTTCATCCTCGGCCTGGGGTCCCTTGGCACAGGGCTGTGTATTGCCAAAGCCCCTGAAGAATTCATGTCCTTAATTCTGCCTCTTTATAGCATTTGTGGATCTCACTTATTCATCACATTTTCTGAGTTTACCTTCCACCCTGTTTTACACACTGGAGATGTGTCAACACAAAGCTGACAAGTTTTCTATTCTTGTGGAATTTACCGTTTATAGGAATTATTATTTGGGGGGGATGGATGGTTTGAGCCAGATCTTATTATGTGACCCAGCCTGGCCTCCAACTCAATAATATATATTCTAAATGCTGGTTTACAGCTGTAAGATGCCATGCCCAGCTTTGTAAGAATTACTGAGACACACACACACACACACACACACACACACACACACACACACTTTCAATTAAATTAAAATTGTATTGCCCAGGTTGGCAGGCAGATATGTAATGCCATGCTCAGCTTTTTAGTTTTGGAAGAGAATGTTGTACTTTACTGAGTTAGTTAGAAGTTGATTTAGTGGTTAGTTAGCAGAGGCCTGAGTAGTGTAGATTCAACAAAATAGGATTGACCTGATTTATTTTCCTCTTAGGTCACGAAAGGCCCAGGGATAATTGCTCCTTCATCATTTATCTTTTTCACTGGTTGCTAATAGAAATTAGAGAGTAGATAGGGGTTGGGGCAAATAGCACGCGTGTCTTAGGATCACAGTCAGCAGACAATGGGGCCAGCAATCATTCTTGTAGCCAGGGCCTTGGCAAACTACTTCAGGTGTTTATGAAGGCCTACTCCTAGGACAGTTACCTCCAATCTTGGAGACTCATACACTTCTCTTGACCTTACTTGTCCTACCTGTGTTCTCCAGGCTTGGGTCCTGGCTCCATGCTCACTATCATCTTGTCACTAATGACCCGGTTTGTCCTTTGCTCTGCAGTATGTGGGTCAAGTGCCCGAGAATGATGCCAATGCCTATATCACCACACTCAAAGTGACTGACAACGATGCCCCCCACACTCCAGCATGGGACGCCGTGTACACCATAGTCAATGACCCTGAACAACAGTTTGTTATCACCACAGACCCCACGACCAACGATGGCATTCTGAAAACAGCCAAGGTTTGTATGGTGCTTGGTGAATGATGTGTCAGTAGCTGGACCTCCTTTATCCCATAGGGACAGGGATAGGGGAGAAAGGTAAGGAGTCTGAGGGTGGTACTAACAGAGCTTAGAGAAGCTCTCTTGGCTGTCTTGTTAGGCAAGTATGCCCCCCCTGATTTATTTATGTATATAATGTTCTATCTGCACCAGATTTCATGGTAGATGGTTATGAGCCACCATGTGGTTGCAGGGAATTGAACTCAGGCCCTCTGGAAGAGCAGCCAGTGTTCTTAACCTCTGAGCCATCTTTCCAGCCCCAAGGGTGGCTCTTTTGAAAAATGTCCTAAAGCCTGGGGCTAGGCAGCAGCTCTCAACCTTGGGTCCTGACCCCTTTTGGGGGGACCTTAGACCCTTGGAAAACACAGATATTTACATTGTGATTCATAACAGTAGCAAATTTACAATTATGAAGTAACAACAAAAGTAATTTTCACCACCACACGAGGAACTGTATTAAAGGGTCACAGCCTTAGGAAGGGTGAGAACCACTGGACTAGAAAAACAATGGCTCAGTGGTTAAGAGCACTTGTTGGTCAGCAAAGGACCTGGGTTTAGTACCCAGCATCTACATGGCAGCGTCTACATTTACCCACAATTGCTGGTAAATCTTTGGAAAATGCCCAAAAACATGTCTAAACTGAAAGTGGGGATGACTTACTAGTTGAATTTAGCAAAAGTTAATAGGTGCCAAGAGAGTCTTTAGAGCATTAATGTCCTCTTCAGCAAATGAGCAACCATGTTTGAGAAGTACTGTCAATCATAATGGTAGCTGAGCAGCTGGGGTTGGCACAAGCCTTACTCCCAGCACTTAGGAGGCAGAGCCAGGCAGATTGAGGCCAGCCTGGTCTACGGATCCAGTTCCAGGATCCCCAGGGCTGCACAGAGAAACCCTGTCTTGAAAAACAAAACAAAAAGAACAACAAAAAGTTGTAGCTGAAATTAAATTCTTTTGACTAAACATTTTTTTTAAGTAATTTATTATTATTTTATGCACATTGGTGTTTTACATGCATGTATGTCTATGTGAGGGTGTCAGAAGCACTGGAACTGGAGTTACAGACAGGTGTGAGCTGCCAAGTGGGTGCTGGGAATTGAACTTGGGTCCTGGAAGAGTAGTGAGTGCTCTTAACCACTGAGCCATCTTCCAGCTTCCCTAAGCATTTTATTTGTTCTATGGCAATGGTAATTGACTTCAGGGCCTTGAGCATGCTGGACAAATGAGTCACCACTGAGTCATACACCCAATCCCTGGTATTTTAACTTTTTTTTCCTCCTGTTCTCTAGGGCTTGGACTTTGAAGCCAAGCAGCAGTACATTCTACATGTGACAGTGGTGAACGTGGACCCCTTTGAGGGATCTCTTGCCCCTTCCACGGCCACGGTCACTGTGGATGTGATAGATATAAATGAAGCCCCCATCTTTGTGCCTCCTGAGAAGGTAGTGGAAGTGCCTGAGGACTTTGGTGTGGGTCTGGAAATCACATCTTATACCGCCCGAGAGCCCGACACGTTCATGGAGCAGAAGATTACGTAAGTAGGAGGATTTTCAATGGCGAGTATTGAATGGGAATTGGTATGTATTTATACTTTGTTTTGTTTTTTTTTGCTTTTTTTGTTTTGTTTTGAGACAGGGTCTCTCTATGTAGTCCTCACTGTCCTGGAACTTGCCTTGTAGACCAAGCTTGGCCTGGAACTCAGAGATCCTTCTGCCTCTACCTCCTTAGTACTGGCACTAAAGGCATGTTCCACCATGCCCAACTGCTTTATTGTTTTTTTTTAAACATATAATTTATGTAACTATAAATGCAATCATTTGTCTTGTAATAATACATTCTGAGGTAATGTGTCCATGACAAGTTTGTGGGAACTTTGCATAGGTTGTAAAGCAAAGTAGGATGGCTGCAGTTTCACTGAGGAATTGCCCTTATGTGGGCGGCCAATGGGGGTCAGTTCTTCTGCCATGTAGATCCAAGGCTTTGCAGTAAGCACCTTTCCCCACTGAGCTGCACCCCACACCCCATCCCTAACCCACCACATTTTTTACTAGAGGACCAGAGCTTAGTTCTCAACACTGGAGGCTCACAACATCTGTAACTCCAGTTCCCCGGGAGCTGATGCCTCTTCTGACCCCTTGCACCATGTGACACACACACGTATATCCAGGCACACACACATACGTAAATAATAGAAACATATATCTTGAGAGCAGTAATTATGTGACAAGTGACGAGGACCCGTGACCTTCAGTCCCATCCTGCTTGCTGATCCCACTCTAAGGTGAGCTTGTGTCCTCAGGTATCGGATTTGGAGGGACACTGCCAACTGGCTGGAGATTAACCCAGAGACTGGTGTCATTTCCACTCGGGCTGAGATGGACAGAGAAGACACGGAGCATGTGAAGAACAGCACGTACACAGCTCTCATCATTGCCACCGACGATGGTATGGAATTTAGTGGCCCCATCTGCATTGTGGCCTGGGCCCCCTCACTCTCCGGCTTGCTTCCCCCCTTGGCCTTGGCCTTTCTTTTTTGGAGTCACGATTTCACTCCTTTTCCTTTATCCGTAAAAGAATAGTTGGTAACACGATTCCAAAATTTAAATCAAGTAGAGTTTTTCTTTGTTCTTGTCCATCTCTGTACTTGAAACTCACTCCTTCTTATGGGAACTTGGGTTTGTATCCCAGATCTGTGGCTGTGAACTTATTATCATTTTAACCTTCAATTTTTTTTCTTTTCCTTCCTTCGTTTCTAAGATTTATTATGTGTACAGTGTTCTGCCTGCATGTACACCTGCACACCAGAAGAGGGCACCAGATCTCATTATAGATGGTTGTGAACCACCATGTGGTTGCTGGGAATTGAACTCATGACCTGTGGAAGGGCAGCCAGTGCTCTTTACCACTGAGCCATCCCTCCAGCCCCTTATTTTAAATTTTATATGTATGAGTATTTTGCTTGCATCTATATCTGTTTACTACATTTGTTCTTGCTGTTCATAGAAGTCAGAAGATCCCTTGGAACTGGAGTCACAGATAGTTATGGGCTACTATGTGGGTGCTGAAAACTGAACCCAGGTCTTCTGTAAGACTAACAAGCACTTTATTTATTCATTCATTCATTCATTAATTTATTTATTTTCTGCTATGCAGCCCATGCTAGCTTGGACCACCTTTTTTTTTTTTTTTTTTTTTTTTTTTTTTTGTGTGAGGGAGTCTGGTCCACTGGAACAGAGTTACAGACGGTTGTGAGCTGCCATGTGGGTGCTGGGAATTGAACCTGGGTCCTCTGGAAGTGCAACCAATGCTCTTAACTACTGAGCCATCTCACCAGCCCCCTAACAAGCATTCTTATTCACTGAGCCATCTCTTCAGCAAGTGGGAATTGACCACTTTTTTTTTGAGACATGGTTTCACTATATGAACACACCATGTATCCCAGAAGGCCTCAAATTTGAGGTAACCCTTCCTTGCCACATCCTGTGAGGTTCTAAGATTCCAAATGAGTGCTACCACACTTGGCTTTTTCTTGTTAAAAGATCTGCTGGAGCCAGATTTCTATAGGAGGCTGAGGGAGGAGGATTATAATTCCAAAGGCTACATAGTGACGCTTTGTCTCAAAAGCAATGAACCCTAAAACTTAAATGGATGCGTAGTGTTACACTGGCAAAGAAGAAAGCTGCCTCTGATATGAAAAATATTCCAAGACATTGTACACAAGCTGTGCCATAACCTTGTCAGAAAGCAGGGACACAGGGTCCCTGACAAGCTAGGTCAAAACCCGACCTTTCAGAAGGTGATAATATCGCTTAACTGTGACAGCCTTTCTGTTTTCTCTTAGGTTCACCGATTGCCACCGGCACAGGGACTCTTGTCCTGATCCTGTCTGACGTCAATGACAACGCTCCCATCCCAGAACCTCGAAGCATGCAGTTCTGCCAGAGGAACCCACAGCCCCATGTCATCAACATCATCGACCCAGACCTTCCCCCCAACACGTCCCCTTTCACTGCTGAACTCACCCACGGGGCCAGTGTCAACTGGACCATCGAGTACAACGACCCAGGTGTGAAGTCTAGCTCCGTGTTCAAAGAGGCTCTGCCTGTCCCGCTTCTGCCTCCCACTTCAGGATTTCCCTTCCGGCTCCAGGCGGACCCTCCCTCCCCTTGATATTTGGCCCTAGGTCCCTCTACATTTCACGCATGCGCCTTTCCCTCTAAGACATACTGCACGGTAATGAGAACCCCGAGCGGTTCCTTCACCTGGCACTGGGTGTAGGCTGTGTCCTCTTCCCTACGAGCATTTCCATCTAGGGAGCTTTCTGTTCTTTCCCTTCCCCCACTCTCATCATTTCTCTGTTTCCCGTGCCCCAGGACAAGAGTCTCTCATTCTGAAGCCAAAAAAGCCCTTGGGGTTTGGCGAGTACAAGATCAATCTCAAGCTCATGGATAACCAGAACAAGGACCAGGTGACCACGCTGGACGTCCTCGTGTGCGACTGCGAAGGGGCCGTCCACAACTGCATGAAGTCGGGATACGTGGAGGCAGGGTTGCAAGTGCCCGCCATCCTGGGGATTCTCGGCGGGATCCTGGCTCTGCTGAGTAAGTGCCGCTGGCAGGGGCAGCCTCGAGAACTGAGAAGGGCCATTTCGAGGAAGAGCTTGTTGTTAGGGTACAGAATGAGCTGGTGCTGAGGCAGAGAGGAGCCCGGGATCCTTCTGTTCTGTTTCTTTCTGTGCCTCCTACGGTTGTGTGTGTGTGCATGTCACCTGTGCCCTCAGTCAAGTGGGAACTCAGACCCAGGATGCCTGGTGAGGATCCCCAGAGGCTTCATGCTGATCCAGTCCCCAAGTGATGCTGAGCTTGCAGGCCCACGTGTATGGGAGCAAGGTCGTGGCATGCCATCCTCATTAGCACGGTGCAGGTTGGCTGCTACCGTCATCTCCCCATTCCACCTTGGAGGGCAGATGAGAGAGGGAGTTGAAGACCACCTAACTGCAAGCTGTTGACATCACTACCGCTCACGTCCCATGGGCTCAAATGAGCCCAAAAAATGCGTGCGAGGCAGAGAGAGTGGACGGTGGGGTGAGCAATGAGTATGGCCGAAAAGATGAAGGAGAGTAAAGATGATGGAGGGAATCTGGCCATTTCTCTCCATCAAAGCTTTTTATTTCTTTAGGTTTGTTTTATTAGACTTGGCTAAAGTTGGGAAGATTCTCATATCAGACATCTAAAGCAGAAGTGGTGCCAGGAACCAGATATCCAACTTGTTTATTATTTTGTTGTGTTTTTTGAGAAAGAGTCTCCTCTATAGTCCAGGCTGGCCTGGAACTTATTATGTAGCCCAGGCTGGACCTAAGGTAGTCCTCCTTCAAGTGGCTAGGCATCTGCCAGCTGCCTGCCGTTGCCACCCTTCGGTCTTCCTTGCCTGCGGCTCATCCCTCTTTCCCATGCTTTCTTCCCTGTCTCCAGTTCTGGTCCTGCTGCTCCTACTGTTTCTACGGAGGAGAACCGTGGTCAAAGAGCCCCTGCTGCCCCCAGATGATGACACCCGGGACAACGTGTATTACTACGACGAAGAAGGGGGTGGAGAAGAGGACCAGGTGAGCTTTAAAGCTGTAGAACTTGAACTCTGATTGCGGGGTGTCAGATAAGCTATTTGAGTGAGTCACCCCCACTGTACTGCTGATGGAGCACAGAACCCTATGACTCAGTGGTACATAAGAAGTCAGGTGTCTTCCCCAGACACTTTTGTGTTCTCTGCAGCAGTTTTTGATGGCATCGAGGCTCAGACCATCTGTGCATCAGTGAGGATTCAGCTAATCAGGCAGAGTTTTGCTGAAAGGCCCTTAGCTGCAGCCTGTGTCTAGGTCTGTTGTGAGGTAGCCTCATGTGGATTGCAGGAGGCAGCACCCTTACTGTCTTGTTGCCTGAAGCCCCCTCATGTGACAAAGCCCATTATTGACAGACAGGAGACTACTTACGTCAGCTGTGGTGGGGAGGAGGGGAGTGAGCATTTGCCAAGCTATAACCCAATAGTTGTGTCCTATGAAAGGAGTAAGACACAATAGTTTAGGATCATAGGACCCCCCGAGGGCTCTCGTTTCTTTTGGTTTGAATTAGGATACTCTCAGTTTGGAAACTGTCATTTCCTATGTGTTTGGGCACATGCTCATGAACACCAGGCAGGGTAGTTCTGGCACAGTCTGTGATGACATGAAACAAACCCAGCCCTGTGTACGCAGCTGCTGCTTCTTTCACTTGTTGCCATGCTTCTGCTCTTCTCTCTAGGACTTTGATTTGAGCCAGCTGCACAGGGGCCTGGATGCCCGACCTGAAGTAACTCGAAATGATGTGGCACCCACCCTCCTGAGCATGCCCCAGTATCGCCCTCGTCCTGCCAATCCGGATGAAATCGGGAACTTCATTGATGAAGTAAGTAGGCAAAGCTGTGAGTGCAGGCACAGTGCGTTTCTGAACTTACAACTGAGGAGAAAAACATTCCAAAGGAGGAGAACCTTCAGATTGTTGCCTTATGGGGTGGGGTCTGCCTGTCTGGATCCCCAAGACACAAGCAAGATCTACTTGGAGAGATTGAGCAGATCTAGAAACAGTTCCAAAGTAAATTTAGTTTGGCTTCATGAATGAGTTCCCTGCATTCACTATAGCTCTTTGGGATAGTATCCTTGGGCAGCTAAGGCAGCTCAAGAGGTAGGTAAAAAGCAGCTTCTGAGCAACCAACATAAATGCTGGGTGGGTGTGCTGGCCTCCTATTTTTCAGTGTTCAGATTAGACTGTCCTGAATGAGCAACCTCTAGCTAGGTTCAGTGGAAAAACCCTGTCTCAGTAAATAGTGGGGAAGAGACTTTGAAGACTTGTGCTGCTGATATCAACCGTGGGCTTTCACATATACATGTGCACACACATGTAAACACAAATACACGATGTGCATGGCACATACAAAGTGTATCCCAGTTTACCCAAAGGCCCATATAAATAGCATCCATCATGTAACATACCCATATATTATTGTATGTGTCAGAAATATGTGTCAACTCTAATGGAAAAGCTTAAGCAGACAGTAGGAGATGTGGTTTGTTCTGATGGAAGACAAGGCTCAGCGGTCTAGTCTGTTGTAGGTAAAACATATAATTCTTCTACCTGCCTGCTCCATTATCTTGGAGTCTTATGGCCTTGAACTTATGATCCTCCTGAGTTCTGGGCTCAAAGGTGAGCGCCACCACTGCCTGGGGTCAGTTATATTTCTATTACTGTGCTCAGACACCACGAACAAGGCAACTTACAGAAGAAAGTCTGTATTCGGTTCTGATTCGGTTCTCCACAAGTTTAGAGTCCATGACTGTCATGGCAGCAGGAAGATATCTATGGCTGGGGCTGAGAGCTCATGTTTTGATCCATAAGCAGGAGGCAGAGAGAAACAGGCAGAGAGACAGAGAGCAAGCTAACTGGAAATGACTGGTCCTTTAAAACCTCAAGCCTAGGCTGGACATTGGTGGTCCACGCCTTTAATCCCAGCACTCAGAGGCAGGTGGATCTCAGAGTTCTAGGCCAGACTGCTCTGAGTAATTTCCAGGACAGCCAGAGAAACCTTGTCTCAGGGTGGAGGGGCGGCTTAAGCCTGTCCTCTGTAACACACCTCCTAATCCTTCCAGGTAGTTCTAATGGGGACCAAGTATTCAAGCAGTATGTAAATGTGGGTGCTTTGTACTCTCTATGTGAACCTGGAGCTAGAGAGATAGATGGCTCAGAGGTTAAGAGCACAGGCTACTTTCCCATAAGTCCTGAGTTCGATTCCCAGCAACTACATGGTGGCTCACAACCATCTATAATAAGATTTGGAGCCCTCTTCTGGCATGTAGACACACATGCAGGCAAAAACTTCTAATAAATTTCTGATCCCCTGACTTCACCCCTCAGAATTAACATTTAAAAATAATAGTTGGCATCCATCCTTTGAGGATTTTTTTGGGCTGAACTGTTATCTATATGTACTAGTATGATTGCTCTCACTCTTTTTAGCCTCTCTCTCTCCATCCTGACCGGTGGCATGAAATCCTTACTGTAGTTTCTGGGGACCTCATCCTGACAGGCAGTTGTCTGTCTCCCTGACATGTAACAACTTAAAATGATTTAGGAAAAGCGTCCGTGGCTTGTTCTTCTGTGCTGATGTGTATGCCTGTAACTACTCCCTGGTTGCCTTTTCGTGTTTTGGGTGTTGCTTCCCTCAAATGCATAGTAATAAACACGGCACCCTTCCCTTTAGAACCTGAAGGCAGCCGACAGTGACCCTACGGCGCCCCCTTACGACTCTCTGTTGGTGTTTGACTATGAGGGGAGCGGTTCCGAAGCTGCTAGCCTTAGCTCCCTGAACTCCTCCGAGTCGGATCAGGACCAGGACTACGACTATCTGAACGAGTGGGGCAACCGCTTCAAGAAGCTGGCTGACATGTACGGCGGTGGAGAGGACGACTAGGGCTGGAAAGTGGCCTCCAGGCGGAGCCCGAGGAGATGCAGAAGAATGTTGCCAGTGGCCTTTCAGCTCCTTCCCTGGGTCTGTAGAAGAGACACTCATCTGAGATGCATGCGGTTTGCGGGCCCCCTCAACTTACCAGCCTTCTGGTGTTGGGAGGGGTTTCACTTATTCTTGATTTTTTTTTTAATACACCCCCCTATCCTCTACCCCTGCAGCCCTTTCATGGATAGCAATGAATCTGGGACTCTACAGTGAGCTGGAGCCCCAGTTCAAACTTTATTACTTTAAAATGACAGTTCGAGCATCAGAACTGTCGGCCCGCAGTGGCCGTTTTCCTTCATGTTTAAGAGGCAGGGGAGGGGATTTGCCCTACTTCTGTTTTACTGTGTAGAGACAGTGGTTTGTTTTTTTGTTTTTGAGCTACGGATCTAGGCAAGTGTCCTGCCCCAGACACACGGCCCCCAGTCCTTTGCCCGACACTATTTTTTAGTTATGTGCTTTCCCTCAATTATCATGTTTGTGTTCTGTATTCTAATAGCCATGTATGCTCCTGCATTCTGTTTTCCTGCCCAGGTGCTATTTCATGATGCAGAAATGACTGGGTGAGAGACAGGTATCTTGGTGTGAGCACAAAACTGAACTGGATAATGTGCGCTTCAAGAACCTTTCTTGGTTTTCCTTCCTCACCTCCAGAGTACTCACTTGAAATGGGCATTCCTTGTTTGGAGTCGCTGTTTTGTGGGTGAATGCCATAGTGGGATATGTTGCTTTGGCTTTCTACGCAATTCTGTGACCTGAACATTCAGGAAGGTTTTCAGGCACCACTTTTTTTTTTCTTATGTTTCTTTCATACCAACACACACACACACACACACACACACACACACACACACACACACACA